TTTTCACAAACTGCAACGCACTGCTTACTGTGAGATGCGTGAGGGGAAAGGTAGGAAGTGTGTATGTGGCTCCCACCCACACAGTTAGCTGTTATGGTAGGATCCTGGCCAGGAACAGCTTGGCTTTTTTAAACTGAATAAATTTTGTCTTGTTAACTGAGAGGAAAACAATGGGAGTAGACTAAACTTTTGTGTTTTTCAGAGGAGAAAAGACACACACTAACACATAAAAAAAAAAAAAACCTTGGCTTACCAGCCTCACCAGCTTCCACCTCCTCAAACCAACTGTGATGGGAGCCAGGTTGTTCCCTTGCACAATCTTTCACCAGCACAGATGGACATAAATGACAGTGACACCCCACTGCTCTACCAAAAGCCCAGTAATGTCAACCACAACGTAAGGAGCAATGTCACTGTGTCTGTCACACACACATGCTGTATGGCCTCCACTGTGCTCACAATGGGACCTGCTCTGGCTGTCGCACCCTTGGTCACCCTTGCATGTGTGGGCAGCCAAGGCTCATTGATTCATAGGGGACAGTCACCTCATGGAAAGCTGGTGTGAACACAAAAAGGGATCAGTGACCAAGATATTTGTTTAAACCTGCCTTTTCTTCCTCCCAGTTAATTCCCAAGAAGGTGAAAAAAACTTAGGCAGTGTCATTAAGTCAAGCAGCAGTTACTTTGACTCTCCTTATCCTATGGCAAACATATTGCCTCCATCCCTATATATCTGACTTAACTGCATATTAAACATTCAATTATACGAATGCTTCAGTATGCAGAGAGTTGGAGGAAACATTACTAGAAAGCTGGTTTCCCAGCAGGGATACACCACTCCAGCACATCTCAGAAGTGTGCATGTGTATGTAGTCACAGCTCAGACGCAACTTGAAGAATGCTTGTTTTACATGTGACACTATGAGGCCCCATTTCAGTCATGTAACACTGAGCATTCATATATTACAGTTAGTAGAAAGCACATGCTTTGAATTACCTCCATGTTGAGAGGCTGAACCAAAATCAGTCAAAATAAATTGCCATTGTAGGCTGGGTATTCACTTGATCTGAGATCTCCATCACAGTCTTGACTCAGTGACAAAGTAACAGTCACATCAGGAGATCAACAGGCCCAAGAATAAATAGGGCTTAAATAGGGCTCAGAAATGCTGAGATTGATGGTCTTTGTAATATTGGACTATTGTTTTGATAACTAGTTACAGCTGTTTGTATTCAAACAGTTGGGTAGGGACAATATTTTAAAGCTGACTATTGTAGCAAGTACATCACCACAGAAATGAAAAACAATGCTTTTTTTGATTGCCTGAAATACCAGCTTTTTAATAAAATACAATATAGTTCTTTAAATGAAGCAGAAACACCAGACCATGAAAGCCTCTGCAGGAATGGGTGGAGCGTGGAAGAAGGAGAAAGCTGTAAAGAGCACTTTTACTGCAAGGCTTCCTCTGTTCTCACTAGGAAATTTGCTACTCTCACAACTGCTTTCCCTAGGATAACTTCCCAGTCTAAGCAGAGGCAGTCTGCATTTCATGCCAGCATCTGCAGGAAGAATCAGGCTCTCTAACTTCATTACACAGTGGCTCTAGAAATGAACAGCAGAAACAACACAAATACTCTGGGAATTAATAAGCCCGTTCTTGGCTTGCGAGTCATAAATCTAAAAACTGCCAAGAGATACGTACACACACAAATATGTTGGCTGCAAAGTACTGCTGGCTATCCCTGCTTTTCAAAAACAGTTTGAATTAAAACAAACAAACAAAAAAACAAGAGAAAAATAACCCTTATAAGAAAACAAATCATCCCACCTTTGTACTATGCTTCCACTAGCTCAGAGTCATTTCCACCCAAGGGAGTGACTCAGAACCAAACTATTGCTACTTGCAACTGTATGTAGTAATTTTTATGTGCTCTTTGCTCAGTCCCCTCTGCTTACCAACAAAAGACCTTTCAGCTTTTTCCTTCCCTGAACAGTTTGTAAAGTGATTGCTGGGAAGAAAAGCTCTGGAAAGATTTAACAGGATAGGAGTGATGCAACATGAAGTGCTGTTAGCAAAAGTACCAAACATGTGAGGGCTGTGAGGCCACGTGGTTTTCATTTGGGACGTATGGGGTGAACACAGATGTTTGCTTCCTTTATAACATAAGCACAACAAAGGATAACTTTGTTTGAAAGACAAGGGGCAGGCTCTCTGCACACTTAAAGACTGACTTATAACGTAATGGGAACTGTGAGTCATAGCTGTGGGGCCTCTTATCATGGGCACAAAAAATCCCCTCTGCTGCAGCAGAGCTTAGCTTTGGAGCAAAGAGCTTCCAGCCCTGCATGTGAGACTGAAAGCATCTAGGACTAACAGCAAACACAGGGCTGAGCCAAGAACACATGCTGGGGATGACTTACAACACAGATACATCCTTTTCAGTTGACATTTCCTCTCGTAACTCCTTCAGAACCTGAGATCATAATCTGTGCTCATTCCAACAGCATCAAGCAGCTTTGGCTCAACGAGATGAGATGGACATCAGTGAGATGCTATCCTAGCACCTTCATACTGGCTTTTGTATTTGGCTGCAAAGGAGTGTGGCCTTGATGCTTAATTTGAGCAGAGCTGGCTGTCCAGAGCTCTATGTCCTTAAGTTATCTGAATTACCAAGTAACTTACGTCGTGGTGTGTCACAGTAAGGGAGGATTGGCTGATTGATTACAGCTACCTGAAATACAGAGACCTATCTCAATCCTTGCCCCTCCTAGCCTGGGAGAAGACAAAAGTCTTCTCTGATTATCACGAGTGGCTTGTCATCTGCAGCTCAGGAGTACAGAAAATCCAAGTGCTCTTTCACACATTTAACAGTCCTGAGGTATTTTGTTGCTAAATCTCCAGAGACAGTTAGAAATTTAACTCCCATCTGAAACCGGTGGCAGTCAGGTACCTGAACATTTGGGGACAAATGATTTAGGAGCTAAGCATTTTGAATCCAGATATAAGCACGAACATATGCCTGTATCATGCAGATTAAGTGTCTCAGTTTATGCTTGAGAGCATCTCCCTAGCTCCACTTCTAGTATTTATCAACATTCTCCAAGAGCTTAGGAATAGAAAAATAGAGATAAAAGAGTTCTGAAAAAGCAATACAGTCTCTCCTGCCTACACTCACCGCCTACACTACTTGGATGGTTTTTGGCAAGTCTGTTTTGCTCTGAAAAGCTTCCAGCAAATCTTCATCTCTGCATCACAAGACAGTCTAGACTAGGGCTTAACTACCTCTATCTGTAGGAATTTCTGCTTATCACTGTGTGCATTCTCCAAAGAAAGGTGTAAGCCCTGCATGGGGTTCTGGCACATATAGATCCTATCTTGTCTTAAGGAGTTACTTCTCTTCCTGAAGACAGTGTGGGAATCTTTTGCTCTTGCTCATAATCACGTTCTCTCTGAGCACCACCAATTCCTCTGCAATCCAGAAGAACTGAAAGCAAGGCACTCTGAAGTTGAGTTTCATTGTTTTCATTTGTTTTTGGCAGCAGACTGCGTCTTTTCAGTTGATGGCACCCACCATCCCTTAGGTGAACCCAGAGAAAGATGCAGCAAATAGTCACACAGGTGGCTCAACTGACTCCTTAGAGCTAATATATCACTTTCCTACTCTGACTCCAACACCTTCTCTGCTCTTCCCTCTGGTTTTGAAAATGAAGGAACAGTACATTTTCTTTTGCCAGGCAACTGAAGTAACCATATGAATCAGAAACTGTGCCTAAAAGGGCTTAAAGTCTGCAACAGTTGGCCTCGGTAGGTTTCATCCTTGCCAACACCATGGTTGGTTTTCCTAAGCCACATGCATGGCAGTGGGGTGCATCAGATATTTGCCATGTAAATGCTGAAAAAGCATCTCTGCCCTGAAGCACATATCGCTGATATAAATAACATGCTGGATCAGCCAGAAAAACCTGCCTTAGGAAGAGGAATAATAATGAAACGTGGTGGAGGGAAAAGAAAAAGAGAAAAAAACTCATTTACACACAGGCAGTGGCAATGAGCCAGTTCTCACAGCTTTGATCCAGGCTGGTTCAAGAAGCTAGCCAGGGAATGCTGTGAACTGAGCTTTGCTAGAGCAGAGCAGCTGTCTGAATTGAGATGGGAAAAAGGGAACAAACACCACCCAACACAGACACAGCTCCAGTACAAATAAGAAAAGGAATTAAATCACATGGACTACGTGAAGTAGCAGGTACTTAGAGCTGCAGCAGGACATTGTGGCAGCCAGGACTGCTGCTATGGTGGCTGCTGGTGTCACCAGCACTGTTCCCTCCCCACTACTGTATCGCAAGTCACACTTGCAACGTTGTACCACCAGACTTCTGGGTTTCACTGGGCAGTTCTGCTTTCTGCGGGTGTCTCAGAGATTTTCATACAAGCATAATCTGGACCAGTAAAACTGTGCATTGCTGCCTTGTAGAAGCTGCTGTTTCACTTCAATCCAGCTGTCTCTGACGTCTGTCCTCTCTCTGACCATGAGGAGGCATTCCAGGCCTTTCCCCCCAGCTTTGACACTTTAAGGGGGGGGGGGGGGATCCACAGTTCACTCTGTATGGGTAAAGTATCTTTGTCAGGTTGTCCTGCATAGCAGTAGCAGCTATCAGCAAAGCATGTACCTCTTAATTCCTGCCTGCTTTCCCCTCTGACTAGACACCTACAATACCAAACAACCAGATAAGAGGAATTTTACACTGAATGCCAGAAGCAAGAGCTTCTTAACACTGAACTTCCAAACTGAAGCCATTTATCAATGGAACCTTCTCAGTACTGCTACATCAGGTAGTCTTTGTCTGACCCTTATTGCTGGAAACAACACTTAGCTTACTAAATGATGAACCACACCACTTCCTTTACAGCATTTCTCCTGCAAGATCTCCTAGCAAGAGCTAGGAGACTCTCCCAAATTATGTGAATGCTGGAAAGAAGAATGACCTCTGGAACACTTACCTGCTACACGATTTTGCAGGTGCTCATTAAACTTCACATTACTGTGATCACCACAGTGCAGAGAAGACTCTGTTCAGTCACTCACTGCTAAAGCACAGCCAGGAAGTCTGCAAAACACAAAGAGAATGAATGAGGAAGTTCAGACAGAAGAGGGGTACATAATGCAGTTAACTAAATTAGGAATTGATTAAAACAGTTAACTCCCCCCTCCTTACCCAGTAAAATGATTACAGAAGCTCAAGACCTGAAATAATCAGCTTTGAAGCGATCAGGAAAGAGTTAAAACTCCTCCCACAAGAAAAGGTGAGAATGGCACCGTGGGTCTGTCAGAGTTGCAGATATATGGGCAGACAAGAACCTCCCTCCTCTGACTCCATCCTCACCGACCAGCTCTCTCCTTTAAAATGGATTAGGATCGAATTAGCAGCTGCATAAGTGTAAGGGCTGGGACAGCTCTGTCTGGGATTGGTCTGCTTCAGAAAAGTCATCCAGCTGCTTTAAGCAGCTTGCGAGGTAGAAATACTTGCTAGGGGAGCTGGGTTCAGAGAGTTAATGTGAGAAACAGAAAATGAAGGAGAAGATGCAGGAAACACTCTGAGTGTGCAGGAAGATACAAAGCGCAGAACCACAAGTTAAACTACTGCATTCTGGGAGGAGAATCTATGAAATTTTAGATGCAACAGGAAATGAAGTGTCCTCCAGCAGAAGTGGTCCATTAGCACAACAAGCAGAGGTCACCCAGCTGTGTGCAGGCAGCCCGGGGACAGGCAGCATCTCCCTCCTATCCAGCTGCCATCACAGCCACTTCAAACCTCTGATCCAAAGCCTGATGAAAGCAGCAGCATGTCTGCGTGCTGAGCTTTGGAGCTGGGTCCTTGGAGGGCTTAGGGTTGAGCTGATGCACCCTTGCTGTCCTGAACTGCTTCACATTGGCAGCTCTTGGTCAGGGTTGATCAACTCTCCCTCTTCTATGTACCTGCTCTGAGCAGATCATCTGCATTCTCACTTCTCCATTTCCATCTTGAACTCTGAGACCAAATTGGACAAACAGGCTCAGCCTTGACTTCCTGTACCTCTGCACCACAACACTACTGAGGCTGCTGAGCCAGGAAATCCAACCCCAGAAGGGCTGAATCCATGCTGTAATATCGCAGTGGTTGCTTGTTAGCCCTCAAGGCCTGCAAAGCCAGGTCCTGTAATGGCTCAAAGTCAGTTGGGTACAGCAAGAAATTCTGCTGGGAAGGAAAAAGCTGAGGAGAGCAGTGCTGCTGGACAGGAAGAAGAGCAGGAAAATGATGCTAAGGGGCCAGAAGAGCCCAGCTCCAAGGCTCACATTCAAGACTAGCTCAGCCAGCCTTGTATGACCCACACGTGTGGAAACCAAAACAAGCTAAAAAAAGAACCCTGTCATAACTGCACTCCTGGGCTGGCTCTCCATCCCTCAGCCTGCTCAGATCTTGGCTACCTGCCTCCTTTCTTCTTCCTCCTGCTGAGGGGTGAATGGGCAGAAGGTTTTGCTTACACAGCTGAGCACCCCTGCTAAACCTGGATTTCATGGCTGGTACATGGCACTCCTGACCAAGCTCCCTCCCTGCCTACAGCTGCGCAGCCAGCCTCTACCTCTCTCCCCCACCCAGCAATTATGTGTCAGGATGGAAAGTACATGCTCTGGCAGCAAAACTGCTTTTTCTCAGCATGAGTGGATTATAATCGCCAATGGGAGAGAAGGAGCTGGCCCACCCAACAGCCTACTTTAAAGGGGAACTAAGCTTCCCCCCCAGCTCTTTTCTCCATTGCACTATTGCTATGGATTGTAATTGCAATTCTGTGGAGCAAGAAGTGCAGCATAGGACAGCATGGGGCAGCAGAGAGACTTGAGCAGGCTCCTCGTGGAGTTCATAGAATTTCTCAATGCTTCCCAGAACAATACTTTTCTGAGTTTTCACCTGTTGACAGGGGCTGAATTTAGCTTGAAAGCTGACATGAGAAATCTTGTTTAAGAAAGGATGCAGTTGTGTAAAGAGGGAGTAATAAAGCTCGAGAACTAAACCACCCTTTTTGCTAATATACTCAGTGCACTCAGGGAGCTGACTTTTATATTGTGGTGTACTTTTTTCCCCCAGTTGCTCTCAGTAAGCATGCTTCCTTATATCACTCTATTTGAATGAACTTTTTTTGCAGGCAAGCCCCAAGATACTGAACCAACATTCAACAAGTAGCCTATTGCAGAAGCCTGACTAAAATTGTCCTTATGAAAACCACAGTTTTTGCATAAAATACAAACTCAGAAATGAGCTAGATCAGCATGCTGAACATCAGTTTCCATGGGTCAGATTTCTTCTCTCTGTTACTCATCGCCACATAAGGAGAGTTGCAAGCACAGACAGTACCTCAGAGGCTGCAGAGGCACACAGGAGCCCTTACTGTCATGGAGACAACCAACACAGCATGAAATGGGAGTGTGACACAGAGTTCGGAGTTACTGGCTGTCATTTGGCCTGAAGCAATCACTCAGGAAGAGCAAAACTCCTCTGCTTCTGACCGGACTTCTTCAGTCTGACTTGTATGGAAGGGGAAAAAAGTTTTTTCTTCGTATATTGTAATGCTCTGAGCAACAAAAAGAGGAAGACAGTTAGGCAGGGAGGGGTTGCTGTTGAACTCTATGTAAACAAGGATGGCTCCCTGGGCAGGCACAGGTACCCAGCTTCCCTTGTGCACGCTGCTCATACAAACACCAAATGCTTACATGTGCGTACCCCCATCATGCAGCAAACACAGAATTATCCACCAGCAGGGAACTGAGTCCTCAGAGCTTCATTACTACCAACATTGGCTCTCTGATCTCTTGCTACTTCTGTGGCAATCACACTTAACATATTTTTCTCACATGGGAGCAGTATGAAGCATCCATTGTGCTAAAAACAAGGCTTTCCAGTTTCCATGCCTAATTTTCATTCTCTGCTTTTTCCCAAGGACAGAAAGAAAACCCTTACAAATGTATTAAGGAGAACTGGGAGCACTAGGTTTTAAAACTAGATGAAGGTAAACTCTATTTTAATCTATGAAGGTAAACTGAGTAACTTCAGTCAGAGCTGTACAAGAACATTATTATCTCCACCAAAGCAAACTCAGAGCCTCACAAAAGCAGCTGTGTTTTTGTAATCCTGTCCCAGCACTCCCTGCCCAGTCCTCACTTGGCAGCTCACACCAAATAGCACTGGCTATGGTTTAGGCCTATAGCACTCATTAAAACCACGTTAATAGAAATGTTCTCTTAAAGACAACAGTAGTGCTCATCTTGCTTGGCCATGTAACAGACTCCAACAGCAACACGCCCTACTTTTCTGAAGAATTTAACGTGGTAGCTCTAAAGACAACTCCTCTGTAGCATTACAGAATCATCAAGGTTGGGAAAAATCTCAAAGACCATTTAATCCAACTACTGACCCACCCCCCCCTGCACCCACTAACCATGTCCCTCAGTGCTACATCTCTGTTTTTCTTCAGATCTTCCAGGGATGGTGACTCCCTATGTCAGACTGTGCCAGTACCTCACCACTCTCTGACAAGAACATTTTCATAATATCCAACCTGATCCACCTTGTGCAACTTAAAGTCATTACCCCTCATCCTGTGGCAGGTTGCTCTCTTCACTGCAAGCTGAAGATGTAGAGGCTGCAAAAGCTCTTTGAGCCAGTTTTATGGCCCAGGACCTCCAGTATCCTGATCTGACCAGCTCCCATCAGAGCTACAAATACCAACCGAACATCTTCAAAAGAAATACCTGTGCACAGGAACAGCAACTTAGACAAAACACTGCTCCATCTCTCTGTGCCCATCAGAGAGCAATATGGTACCTCAGATGAAAGGCAGAAAAGTTTTGTAACACAATGAATTACTCTCAAGCCATGTCACACCGATCACAAAGTGCAGTGCTGCATCTTGCACCTACTGATCGCACCAGAGACCACCACAACATGAGGTCCCACTTCTGCTGGTTCCACCAAGCAGAGGTGGCCGTGAGGTCTCTGTTTCACAGCCCCGCCCTGCTGCAGGCAGCCCCAGAGCCGTCGGCCGCCGCTCCAGCCCGGAGAGCCGGGCTGTCCCATTGCGTCCCGGAGAAAACCTGCCCCGGGGGCCTGATCCTTCCTGATGCCTGCAGGGCGAGCACCGAGAGCACTTTCAACAAGCGACTTACCCCACGAAGAGACAAAGGAGAAACCCCACCAAAACGCCACTCCTCTTTCAGCAGCTTTTCTCCCCAAACCAACACAGGCAAAACGCCCTTCCTGTGCAGAGCAACCCCGTTTCCTTCATTTCCCCCTCCGGCTCCCAGCGCCGGGCCCGCTGCCCCCAGCCCCGCACACTCACCGCAGCGCACCGCACCGTGCCGGGCAGCCCCCGCCGTGTCTCGCAGCCGTTCCCCGCTCGCTGAGGTGCGTTGCGGTGCAGGGGGACCCGCCCAGCCTGTCCGGAGCGGGTTTTCTTTCTCTTTTTTTTTTTTCCCTCCTTCCCCTCGCTCAAGGCAGCCCTGCCAGCCCTAGGAGCCTTGCCGTCCTCCCGCAAGCCACAGTTTGCTCCCTGAGCTCCCCGCTGGTTCCCAGATGGTTTTGTGCAGAAGGCACCGCGGACGGAAAGGAAATGCGCTCATTTTGCTTCTCGGATGTATTGTGACCTCCTGGTGGTCGCGCCGAGTGTGCGGAGCAGCGACCTCGCCTCCTCCCGGCTCTGACGGAGCGGAGCGAGAGGATCCTGGGACCGCTGTGTTGTCGGCACGGCTCAAAGCTGGCACGAGTAGAGAACATCGTGCATCTGTCTGCCCCAGGTGCTACCTTGGCAGGGTGGGGAGATGGGGCACAGCCCCCTTCACTTAGCCAATAACAGAGAAAGGCCAGCGTCGCGGATTTTAAAAAGGTGGTTTCCAGCACTACTTCCAGGTAAAGCACTGCTGTGCTTAAATGGCTCCTTACAGACCTAGCAAGTTTGCTCAACTCCTATCACAGCCCAAGGGAAGCAGGTTTGAGCAACAGCGCTTAGTAATGCCTAGCTGAGTTGTGGGAACTTTACCATACCCTTCCTCTTCCTACAGCATTGCAGTGACCCTTACACTGGGATGGATGTTGCTTGTGCTCCTGCACTGCTGCCTTGGTTGTCTAAGCTCAGTTGGCAGAAGGGCTACGTGTAGTGGGAGTCACTGTTGCCTCTGCAGTATCAAATGCAAGGCACAGCTTTGCACGGAAGGCAGCTGCTTTCCAAGTTGTAATAGGATGTTAAGTTGGCTTCTTTGGGTTTCCTGAAGTCCTTGCAGAACTAATGAACAGTTCTGATGCTATTCAAAGGGCTTGCATTTGTGAATTTGTGTGGATGGGTATGGTTACCTCAGTGCCTGAATCAAATTTATTCAAGTCTATTTGCAACCTGGGTGTTGTTAGCACATTCCTTTCCCATTATGCTATAGTGTAAGAAAATCATCTCTCACAGGAGCAGTGTGGCATCTTCCCACTTTTGCTGCAGGACCTGGCCTGTCTCAAAGCAGCTTTGTTTCCCCTGGGAACTATGCAGCAGCAGGAGACAAAGTAGATCCTGCTCCAGGATTGCAAATATCCATCACCTAAGCCAAGGGAAAACGTCTATTAAATACCACCTGCAGAAAGCCTGATAAGGTAGTAATTGCCAATTCTGACCACATGTGTGTATATATATGTATATATATAACAAACATTGAACATACAAATCACTACAGGTTAGAGGGCTGTGATTTGTATTCATCTAAATTTTCCTGGGATACAACAGAAGAGCAATGCACTAGAGATTTAAACACTTTTTGCACCAGATTGAATGCACCAGATTTAGACACTTTTTTAAAAGAAAGGCTCACATCTGACAGCAGAAATGCTGTCACAGCTTGAAGCAATGATTGAGTGCCTGGTGGGAGGGCAGGGCCAACCCAGGGGAGCACAGGTGCAAGCAACAGGTGCAAGCAATGCCCCTGATTGACTGGAAGGGTGGAATCAGGATCCAACCTTTCACAGACCTCATTTAAGGGTTGACAGGGGAGAGTCTCTTGCTGGAGATTCCTGCCTACTGTTTGCCTTCCTAGGGTAAGTAGCTTTTTTTAAAATTTGTTTCTGTGGCTGGTGTATTGAGTGTATCCTTGCTTAAGGTAGTCTAGGACTTTGCTTTTCTGCTGTTGTTGCTGTGTTTTCTGTCACATTATAGTCCTGTGTATCTTAACAGATGCTATTACATATTCATTATCCTATTTAGGATCTCCTTTCTGTTTCTGAGATGGTGGAAGAATTATGGTAATGTTAGACATGTAAATAGAAAAGTCAAGCCAAAACATACTAATCTTTTTTTTTTTTTTTTTTTTTAATACAATTCAGCAGTTCAGAAGAGGCTGGAAAGGTGGAATCACATCTCCTGACAACTCCAGTACGTGATTCATTGTTTGACTATTGTTGCACCATAGAAGGCTGAAGATCATTATCTTGCTGAAGGTAGTAATTTATTTGATAATGAGCCAAGCTCTACTAGCCTTACTCAGATGTTGGGTAGGACCTGAAGCCATGAGCTATGGAGTAACAGCGCTGCAGCACGCTGGGAGGTAGCCTGTGATTCTGTTGCATGAATTCTACTGCAGCAGAAATTAGATGTAATAATGCTATTTCTGCAGTAGGCTCTAAGAGCCTATTAGCAGGAGTAGAACAAGAGTAAGGTTTGGGATGAGTGTTAAACTCTAGGTAATTTTCCCCTTGCTTTTGGACGTATCAGAACGATATAATTCCTCTATCTTCTTTCCATTAGTGTTTCTAATCTGTTAAAACAAACACTATTTCTTCAAACTATTACAAGAAGTACATAAAAAATGAAGTTCTGTAAAGAGAGAATAGGGATATGACAGAGAGCTGTGTGTAGGCAGCAGTGAAACAGGCTTTAGTACAGCTTCCAGCTGTCACCTTCACAAGGAGC